TGTGTTTTTTTTCCTGTCAGGGGCTGCTTCTCACTGTGGATCTGTGTTCATCTCCCCACTTTAAATTAGGTCTCACCACAGGGGGGTTGCTGTCACACATGCACACACCACGTCCTCCCCCTCCCGCTTACCCCTGCTGTGCATGTCAGCTCAACTTTATTCTCATTTGAATTAAAGAACAGAATTAGGTTTTGGTGGCAGTTAAGATGCTCATCCGCATGCACATGCTCACAAGCACATGCACACACTCAGTTAAAGGTAGGTCTGAATCTTTACCCCCACAAACGATCTCTCTCTGACTCAAACCACACATGTGCACATGAACAAAATGCACACAAAGATGCTTACAACCAGCAGCAGGCTGTACTGCAGTGTCAGGTATGGGAGTGCTGAACTAGAGGAGCTGTCAGATCTCTGCAAGCATCACAGAGTCAAGTGCAGCTTCGCACAACAACCTAATCTAGGCTCTTTTTGTTTTCCTACAATACTTTGTTCCTGTTTTTCTTTTTTAAAATTCCTTTTTATTTATTCTGGCATCTTTTTTTTGTTGCTTTCCTTTCATTATTTGTTACATTTTGTTTCTCTCTCTGTATATATTTCTTTTGTCTTCTATATTGAAATGCTTTTCTTTCATCCTGTCTTATGTGCATAATACTTTCATGCATGTTATTACCATAGAAATGTTTTATGTGATTGGTGTACTATGCTCAACTGGGAGTTAAGTTAACAAAATAGAAATCAGTTCAATCAATCATGCAAGGAATTTTACTCCAGTTCAGTGGCCCCCAACGTGCACCAAATAAAATAGAAAAAAAGTAAAAAAAACAAGAACAATTGATAAATATGTGCACATACAGTATATACAAGTTAAAAAGAGCTATTTGGTATGTACAGTAATTATGTTTATAAGTTATTGCACTGTGGTGTTTGCTGTAAATATGGCTTAACTGTTCATGAGCGTGATGGCCCAAGGGTAAAACTGACCTTGTGTCTGGTTGTTTTGACGTACAGGGACCTATAAGCCGTCCAGAGAGGTGGAGTTCAAACTGTTACCTTTTCCTGCGTAATGGATGGAGTGGTTTTTAGGCATGAGTTGCTTGTAGCAATACAAGGAATCAGTGGAAAGACTGCACCAGATAAGCCTGTCACCTGTGCATACAAGAGTCCCATAGCCAATTTACACAAGGATTTAATGAATCCATATTGCTGGGGACTAATATTTCTGTGGACCTTTGCAGTTAAAACTCTGTACCAGTTAGCACGGGCAGTGAAAGCCAAAGTGGCTGAAGCTGAACAAACATGTAAAGTTATGAGAAAGATCAGTAGTATTATATTGTAGCTTTGGGTTGAAGGTAACAGATGTGAAGACTTCCTCAAGTGCCTTATAAAAAGGACATGCCAAAGGTTTTGTTTCTCACTCTAACTGAAAGTGTTTTTTCTGTCTATTTAAAAGGAGCTTTAGTGTTTCAGAATCTTTATAAGCATGGAGGCGTGCATTGTGTGAACATGTCTGGCACAGGCAGTTTGAATGGAATAATATTCACGGACTTGCTGTTAATTTACATTAACCTCTCTTCCCATTTACTGTAAATGTTGTCCTGTACAAATAATCACACAGTAATCACATGCTGCCTCTTGGTTCCTAAAATCCCCTGAGAGGATCTAGTTGATGGCTGGACAAAGTGCCTCCAGAGTAAACACTCCTACTACATAAACTCGGTGACCCATCTCAGGGTCACTGGCTCCTGTACCAAACATGTCAGATTCCCCATCCTGCTCTAAATGCCAATGCAATGTCGAAACCCTAGCTTATTTATTGTACCTCAGAGTGATCAACTCCAAGGCACAGACCAGATGCTGGTCCCCACCATGTAAATCACTGAATTTTAGGATGAAGAGTTTGTTTAAGATTAGGGTAAAGGTTAGATGTTAGGCAACTGGTGGTTATGGTTAAAGACAGAGACACACCAAGCGACATGAAAAGACTAGCAGTGGCGAAGGTCGACTGCTGCATTGTCTCATGTCAACTTTCTCTGGGCCGGTCAGGTAAAAACAAAGTGGCACTCGAACACACCACACAGACTACAACCCGCGGCCAACTAGCATGTACATTCTGCACCTGTGTGAGAGAAATAACCCTCCCTAACATCAGGTGGCGGTATTTACCATTCAGAAAGGGCAGGAGGAAGATATAGACTTAGGAAAATAACAGCTGTAAAAAGCAGGTGTTGTCCAACACAACTGCTTTTTATAGCTACTTCTAATCGAGAAGAGTTGAAAAACGAGGAGAACCCACACTAAATGGGTGAAATCATACTGTAGATACTAAAGGCTGAAGGGGCTTCCTTGGGCCGTTCTCCTCTCATGCATTGATTGGCTAAGCCGATCAGAGTGGTCTCCCTCACCAGCAAAGTCTGTCACCGTTTCAACATGCTGAATTGGCTGAAAAGCCGTCAACAGCGTCCAACTAGTGCCACAGGACACACTAGGGAGACAAGGGTGACAGACACTCACCGATGGCTGGCCATCAGCTTGGTGTGTCACAGGCCTTATAAATAAGTGTAACTCTCCAGTCTATAAGTCAAAATAAAATCCAGAGGAGAGGTGAAAACGTGTGTGTGTGTGTGTGTGTGTGTGTGTGTGTGTGTGTGTATATATATACATATCTTTTTATGGTTGCGAGGACAAATTTTACATTGCTGTGTTATAGATGCAATGCATGTCCTGGCCCGTTACCCAATCCTTAACTATCACAACTTAGTTCCTACCCCTAACACTGAACCGAATTTAAACTTAACCCTTAAAACCAAGTCTTAACTTGCAAACAGCCCCTCCAAGATTTGAGGATTGGCTAAAATGTCCTCACAACGATGGCATCAAAAACAAGTTGGTCCATACAATGTGATAAAGACATGTACACACACACACACCCACACACACTCATATATTTAAACTTTATCACTGAGGCTAATTACATTTCTACTATCTTTTGTCCTTATCTCTCACTCTTTCTTTTTGAAGGTTGCCTTTTGTTGTATCTCTCAATGAAGACATTATAAAACATAAAAGCAATTATAAAAATAATTGAGAGCCATGATGTACACCCACACACACACACACAATCACATTCACACAGATATACTTTCATTAGTCTGTGTACCATTGTGTGTGATCAATAGTGTTCTGTAGCTCACTGCGTTAGTCCTCTGGGGGTTTCCTATTGTTTGATGATCTGCACATTGGTAACACTGTTGCTTCCCATTCACTGACTTTAAATCAAATTTGGCCTGTGGTGGCAGTTTACCATTGACAACACCCAACATATTGGATGTGTGTGTGTGTGTGTGTGTGTGTGTGTGTGTGTGTGTGTGTGTGTGTGTGCATGCATGCGTGCATGTGTCTGTGCACATTTGGAAATTTCGGCATCATTCTGCCCTGCATTGGCAATCACTGAGTTTGACAATTGATTGGATGACCTAGACTCTGCAAACAGCTAATAGGGCACAAGTCAATCCCCAATAAATGGCCAGAAATGGGGGGAGAGATAGGAAGAGAGAGGGGAGGAAAAGGGGGGAGAGTCAAGCAGAGCAGGGTGAGAAGGTGGCAGACAGATTGAGATTTAATTTTCAGGTCACGGCATCTTGTGTCACTTGACAATCCAGACACATATAGAGAGGAAGTGATGCACATTTAGACCCACACACATGCACACACACACACAAACAAACACTCACCAGTGTATGTGTTTGTGTGTCAGCATCCAAGCATCTGTGGACGTGTGCATGTGCATCTTTGTATAAGTGTGTGTCTAGCTGACATAAGCAGAGCTGTAGACATATATCAGGGCTGACATTTAGCGCTTAGCTCTGCGACTAAGCTTATTAGCCAAACACCGAATATCAGCACAATCTCCCTCCCTCCTAGCCCTCTGTACTCACCCACATATCATTCACCCTTCTTCTCCTGTTTGGGGCTCTGGTGACCTTCTATCCTGGCCTTTTTTAATTTCCAACCTGTGTGTGTTGACTTTGCTCATACATGGGAGTCTTTTCCCACCTCGTTTTTGTCTCATTTCCACTTCTTTCTTACCTCTTTCCGGAGTCTTACAGAAGGTTTTTGCAGCTCATCAACACATACAGGCTCACACACACAAACTCAGTCACATACACACTCTCACACAATCCAAACAGGAGGAGAATTTACAAAGTGAGAGTAAAGAAGTGAAAGACAGCAGAGTGCAAAGGACTGGTAAATTTTGACTGAAGCCGACAGAATAAACTGAATCAATCATTTGTTGTTTTGATGTTCAGTTTTTTGTTGTCCACCGACAGCGAGATGTACAGTCAGAAACAAAGAAAGAAAGAGCTACTGCAAGAAGGGGAGAGAGGACAATGACGGTGAAGGGGGAGAATGAAAATGGGGGGTACGCTTTGCAATAACAATTCAATCAAGAAGAAATGTATGTGGAACTAAGTGGTCGGTAATGGGAAACAGGGTGCCTCGTTTATACACTGAAGGAGAGAGAAAGCAGCAAAGGAAGCAGAGACTGAGTGGGAGTGAAAGGAGTAGGAGAAAGAGGGCTAAAGATAGATAGAAGGTCAAAATGTTTCTACACGTACTGTAGATTCATTGCATCACTATGTCCCAATTTCATACTAATTGTATACAGTGTGAATCATAAACTTTATTTAAACTTTGCAGTATATTGTAGATACATATGTAGACAAACAAAGGCAGATACAGCATAGGTCAATAGACTGGAAAAAACAAACATGAAAAACATCAATCAATGGCCAGTAAATCAAGTAATTTCTTTAAAATGTTAGAAAAATGTTAGAGAGGATTAATACATGTCACAAACTGAAATACATGATTGGTGTTGTCTTAATCTTCCAAGGCACGGCTCGTGTGCCTGCCTGCGTGTTCATAGATTTTGAAGACTGTCACCACATTCTGAACTGACATGCTTCATCCGAGCATCTAGGTCAGCATGTGGAAAAAACGTTGGCTTTTTAAGACATAAAAAGGTTTAGAAAAGGAGGAGGAAATGAAGCTCAGTAGGAGCAATGAGAGGGAAAGACACGGGACTAAGATTAAAAGTGAGAGGTTGGGCGTTGGGTTTATTTCTCTCATTTTACATTTCTCTCCCAGTCCAGTTCCAAGTATGATTTGAGCCCAATTCTGGTATTAAATTATTAGTGCAGTATTCTTTATTAAAGACGCATAGGGGACTTGGAGCAATCCAGTATTCAGGTAATGAGATGTGGTACCGGATGCCAAGAAAAGGTTTATATGGTTTAGTTAATTAACCACAGTGAGTCCTTCCACTTATAAAGTCTGGGGCTTGCACTGCGTCAGGAGACTAACACTCTCTCAAGTGGCTTTTTTGTTTTTTAAAATCAGACTGCCAAGGTTACTCTCTCTGTCTTTGCCTTTGTCAACCCACCCCCATGTACCTTTTTTCTTTTTTCTGCAGTTCCTCAATTACAAACGCAAGTCATCTTTGCTCTCCCACTTTAATTTAGCAACCAGTGCTTAAGCTCCATAATGAATGTTTCCCTGTTAAATAACACTGAGGTTCTCTCTTCCTCTCTCTGTCTTTCATGCACATACACCACACACACATTCATACAATACACTTCCCTCACAGCCTGAGTCAGACATCATAGGGTATTGAGTGGTTTGAAGGGAACATAAATCACTTTTTGATCACCTTGGCTGCTTTACAGAAGGCCCAAAACAGCACAAGACGGGAGAGCTGGGAGATCTTGAAATTGTTTATATCATCTTATTTACTGAGGTCAGATTTGTCTGAATTCACAGTGTTTCTCTTCAAAAAGCTTTTTATTTTGTAATTCTCACATTGCACTGTTTCTGGTGAGAGGATGACAAATTAAATTTTTCACTTTTCCAATAGTGCTACAAGTTTTCCATTCACCCTTCAAAGAGGGAGGTTTTGAGTTTTTGACATTACACTTCACTGGGCACAAAGAGCAAGCAAACAGTTTTACACAGGCATGCAACTCCTTCTGTTGTTCCTGGTTGAGGGCTTGGTGATGCTTTCACAATGGTTCCATGCAGAGGTGTATTGCTATTTGTTGAAGTACTGGAGCACAACTATGACACATGCATGGCCACGTACCTGCACATTTTAAATTGTGGCTTGATTTAAGGGCCATGTAAACAGTTTTCCTACAGTTTACATACATTAAAGTTAATCAGTTGTAACTGCCCACATGATCAAATGTTAGACTGACTTTATTCTCCAGTGTGGCAGAATAACGGTGTGAAAGAGTATCCATTTCTCACAGGGTGAATGTTATAGCCATAGATAATCTGATATATTGTCAGTTAGTGAGAAAACAGTAACATTAATATGCTATCACAGGACCTGTAACACATAAATTATTTTGCTCACTCTGTATCCCCAGTGCTTTTTCATTTGTATCAAGCTACAATATGTAACTTAAGGTAGCCTTAGAATGATACTCCAAATCAATCCACTCTGCTCTGCCCAGCACTTCCTGTCCCCACTCCCCTACACTCTACTACGATCTGCTACTCTCGCCAGGCTCTGCCCAACTTTTCAGATATTTGTGCATCAAAACTTACTGATCAAACACAAATAGTTGAAAATTTCTGATTGGTTAGATAGGTCACTCCTCCTCAAAACCTTCCAGACATGAATATCCCTGTACCCCTGCCGGTGCTGTTCAGTGACTCAGGGTCACAGGAGGCTTCAGCAGCACCTTAAGGCACATTTTGGAGCATTTTTCTACTACAAAACAATTTGAAAAGAATTACATACCGTACCTTTAATTAACATTAGCTAGCAACACAGCTATAGAGACAGAGTGCAATGTGTCTTATCCTGAAAATCACGGTCACCGGGAGGTGGGGACAATTCTTTGCTCTCCCTTGTTTTTGTATTGGGTGAAGGTGTCTCTTTGACAAAGTGGTCTCTTAACAAAAAGCAAGTAGATGTGAGGCATTAGCAGAAGCAACAGGGAAGCAGATCCTGATACTCGATATGTCTTGGTCTGTTTGCAGGTGCCTTAACTAACTACAGTAGCTTGCTAACACATAGTAGTTCAGGGAGGAAAATTAGTGTTACAATTTATTTATTTCCAAAATAGATCTAGAGGGAAGTTGGGCTGTAGTTGATGACTAAAATGATTATGGGACAAGTTAGCTGTTAAAATGTTAGCTGTGTGTTAGCAAGCTTCTCCTGGTCTTCCTGCTAATGCACCTTTTAAAACTGTACCCCTGGGTTCTTAGCCTTGTTGGTAGTGCATCCTACCACACAGCAGCTTTTAGACATCTTTCAGTTTTTTGTAAAATGACCAGCCTGTCAAAGAGGTGCCCCCCCCACCCCACCCCCAAGAGGTGTGGGCATGGCCTAAATGCACTCTGTCTCTATAGGCCTGTTCAAAGTGCAGTTGCAAGGCTAGTGGCCACTTTTAAGGTAGAATGTTTTTGTTACGTGTTACTCAATCCATGGGATGAAGTTGTGAATAAATTTTAATATCACAGCAGACCATTCCATTTGTTTTCACTGGTTCTTTTGCAGGAACTGCTTTACTGATGATCACCAAAATGTAACGCTGTCAATTTCAAGTGGATTATGCAAACATTCTTTTTCCTTCCTTGGAGAAAAAAATGTGGCGCCGCGTTGTTCCGGTGCCCTCCGGCAGCATCACACCTATGGTTCCATATTGTTTCTCTAACATCAGCTAGATTGATATGAAGCAGGCAAGGCTGAATGGTGTACTGCTGGTTTGCTTAGTGTGATCAGAAGGCGAAGGCAGATGCACACAGTTGGCATACACAAACACACAAATGCATAAACAATTATGCTGACATGCATAAATCACTCTTGTATGCATATTGTTGTACCTCTCTCTTGAATTTTTGTCGCAAAGGCTCACACAAGTATCGCACACACCTCTTTTCCTCTTTCTCCTTCCCACAATGTCACACACACATTCTTTCCATCAGAATTCAGAGGTGATCAGTATTCTGAAAGGTTTTGCAGGTCGGCTGGACGCTGATCCATCAAACCCCGACGCTTTGTATCTATGGCAACCTTCAGCGTTAAAGAGGAGCACCAACAGTCCTCCAGGAATCCGGGAAATTCTCAGTGTCAGTTTGTGTGCTCACATTCATAGGCATTCTTCTCTCAGATACACATAAACACAAACACACATGCTCACATCCACCAAATATTTCATACCTTAATGGCTGATGTTAGTGTTTCATCCAGATGCTTCAGGTTCACCAAGCTCCCTTGAATCACAAAAGAAGCATCTATGTGTGTGTATGTGTGTTGCTGTCTTAGGTTTTCTCTTTCATCAGCCTATAAAAGCACTGAGGTGCGTACAGTTAACCCGGACCAGCAACACAATCGCTCCTTCACTCCCTGTTAGTCTTTCCTTCTTCCTCACACACATTAACTATCATGAACTCTCAGACACTCTGAAACACTCTCCTATGTTTAGCTGCATTTTCATCCTCCAGAGGCTATGAGGAGTATAGTGCTGTCTCCTCATCTTTATCTATTGGAAGTGGTAAATACATCACTTTCACCGTATTTGTTTTTCTCTTTATGCTTGAAATTGTATTGTGCTGAAAGTTAATGTATGATCTTACAGTACATCATAAAAGTGAGTTTGTCGCTTTGGCAAAGTGATTGCAAATATTGATACCCAGTGGACAGCTGCTGTGTTAGGGACTTTAAAACCATCACACACCGAGAATTCATCTGTTTGTTTTCCTCTGCAGCCACAACAGCAGTAATTAGATTTACTGCACCTCCGCAGTTTTTCACAAACATGGCAACTTCTGAAATGAGATTTTGACTTTATCACCGTTTTTTTTCACAGTACAGTAATTATGTATTTCCCTCTTTCCATTCCTTTCCCCATCTACCCCTTCCTCTGTCTCTGTTTCCCCGTTTCAGATCAGTATATTCATGACCCACCTGTCTAACTACGGCAATGATCGACTAGGGCTTTACACGTTTGTCCACCTGGCCTCCTTTCTTCGCTCATGGACAAACCTGAAACTCCACACACTTCCACCCCTGCAGCTAGCACACAAATACTTCCAGCTTTTCCCTGAACAAAGGAATCCACTCTGGCAGGTGTGTTTGTGTGGGTATTTGCCCAAATGTGTGCACTTATGTGTCTACAATTTTACTGTGTATTTGTGTGCAGTCAGACATTATTATTATGCAGATTGAAAAATATCCAAGAGAAAAACAGACTGTGTGGGCAGTGTGGTTTGAGTAAAAGTAAAAAGTTAGTCACTTGTTTTTACTTGTATTCCTCAAATTATGATGATTTAATGAGAGTAAATTTTCTCTGAAATGACAACAGATTCCTGACATATTCTAGTAGTCAGATGATCACAAATTGCAATGGTTGCAGCTGATGTGCTTAAGTCTCTTACTTTGTCTCAAAAGCCTGGAAAGGAAGGTGGGCGATTTAACTAGTATTTACTCCAACTAATTATAATGAAGACAAGGGAGATCTGAACATTTAATAGTGAAAGATGTTCATGTATACATATACATACAGTATATGAATTTGTGGTGTATTGCCAGCCTGTGCAGGCTAGTAATAGTTGTATGCTTGACACAATAACTTCATTCATTCATTCTATGTACTAAATCCTATTTGTACCAAAACCCTATATGTCTGTGTGTGTGTTACTTTGCATCAATAGCTTCTAATCCTTTGCCTCTGCTTCCGCAGAACCCGTGTGATGACAAGCGACATAAAGACATCTGGTCTAAAGAGAAGACCTGTGACAGGTTACCCAAGTTCATGGTCATAGGACCACAGAAAACAGGTAAGCTACAGGCAAACACACTGAGACAGGCAACAAAAAGATTCCTTATGTGTGCTCAGGTGTCTGGTTCCACCCCATCAGAGCCCATTCAGTTTATCTCTGTCAGAAGGAGACAAAGGCTCTTAGCTCCTTTCTTCCACCCTTTCTCTCTTTCTTTTTCATTTACTCTGTCTCTCTCAAAGAAACAAAAAGAAGTTGAGTTTAATAAAAATCTGCAAACTACTTGGGTCCTGAGTGTTGCCTCCGTGTGAATTCAGGAATTCTAATTACTGGTGTTTGCTTTGAAAGGTGAGAAGGTTCCATAATGCTGCTAATTAACTAGATGATAATTTTCTAAATGGGTGGAGGGGTCACTAGAAGCAACATTATAAGCCCAACAACAATTATAGTACAGTAATTTCTCATTTTATTGAAGTGTATGCCATAGATGTTGTAGCAAATAGAACATGGAGCATGGGGGGGATGTAACAGGATGTGTTGGAGTAAGTGTTCAGGGTGAAAAGAGAGTTTCTGAGTGTGAGACAGAGAGCACGACCAAAACCCCAGCGCTGATTGGTGTCAAATGGTTTTGAATCATTTGTTGGGGAGGCCTGTGATCATTGCACAGATACACAGTACATTCTCAGCAAGATATAAATTGTGCAGAGGGGAAACTCATCCAGAATAGATCAGTGGATGACAGTTCTCACACTTAACTCACACACCCACTGACACACACAGACTACTCTCTGCTGAACTGAATTAACGAGCCAGTTATGAATTATGCCCTTTCTTCCAGGGACGACAGCACTTTATCTCTTCCTGCTCATGCATCCCTCCATCTCCAGTAACTTCCCTAGTCCAAAGACTTACGAGGAGGTGCAGTTCTTCAACACCAACAACTACCACAAAGGAATTGACTGGTGAGCCCACACATAAACACACACACACTTACTCTACCTCTTCCTTTCATTCTTTGTCTTTGCCTTTTACTAATGAGAACATAAGGTGAAATGAAGGATTGTAAGTAGCCATTTGTCATTTCACGAAGCTGTTACAGACTGTAATGTGTCTTTCAGACTTGAGTGATACATTAAACAGTTCAAAACAGTTCAACGTCTTCAAAATGATCTTTCAAGCTTGCAAACATAAGCCAACAGACATATGGCTGCCTGAATTGACCCATAAACAGGTTACTTAGCTGAAACAGACACAGCTGGTGCATCCTCCAAAGTCATCCAGCAAAGACTTAACTCTGAAAATTCCTCTTCAAGCGCCGTTATATTTATATTGCCACTGTTTTTTGGGCTCATTGTCTAAGCGCAGATAAAGGCTCAGTGACTTTAGAACTTATGTTTGACTTTTAAAAAAAATGTATAGAAATTTACCAGTGTGCATGTGTAGTTACACTTCTGAATTTTCTCTTTATTTTACCTCAGGTATATGGAGTTTTTCCCTGTGCCCTCTAATGTTAGTACAGACTTCCTGTTTGAGAAGAGCGCCAACTATTTCCCCTCAGAGGAGTCCCCACGGCGAGCTGCTGCCCTGCTGCCCAAGGCCAAGATCATCACCCTGCTCATCAATCCCTCTGACAGAGCCTACAGCTGGTATCAGGTATATACACGAACACACACAGAATATATTAAATGCCAGTGACTATACATGTAGAATTTAACCCTCTACAGCTGTCTGCTTTGTCATAGAGTATGACATGCTTCACTGATGTATTGTTTGGCATTGAGTTCTTTGTCCAAGACTGTGTTTAGAGTCTGATTTATCCATACATCCTAATTTGGGAAATGTCACAAGATCCTAAAATCTTTAGCTTAAATGTGTTTTGTTAATGAGACATGAATGTCAACAGTGTAACCAGATTAGGAGTCATGTCACTGTGCACAGTAAAAATCCAGTCTCATGCAAAGGCGTGACTATATTTCATGTTCAAGAGGAACAATCGCAGTGAGTTCTTTGAAGCAGATCTGGCTGTATATACCAACTGTCCCCAGCATCAACGAGCTCATGAGGACCACGCAGCCCTGCAGTTCACCTTCTATGATGTCATCAGCGCAAGACCAGAAGCACCAGCTGAGCTGCGCTCCCTGCAGAGCCGTTGTCTCGTTCCTGGTCTCTACTCCACACACCTAGAGAGGTGGCTCACATTCTACCCTGCTAACCAGGTATGCACAGGCACTGTAATACAAAACTCATACAGTATATTAGATAATGTTAAAGCCTTGCAACTGTTTTGTAAGATTTAAATTCTTTTTAACCTTTGAAGAAAGGGAATGAAAGATGTTTTTAGATGAACTGCCTTTAATAAGGGACATATTTGAAGGACTGGGAACTATGTACAGTGAGGAACAGAAGTATTTGAACACCCTGCGATTTTGCAAGTTCTCCCACTTAGAAATCATGGAGGGGTCTGAAATTCACATTGTAGCTTCATTCCCACTCTGAGAGACAGAATTAAAAAAAAAAATTTAAGAAATCACATTGTATGATTTTTAAAGAATTTATTTGTCTTGCACTGCTGAACATAAGTATTTGAACACCTGAGAAAATCAGTGTTAATATTTGGTACAGAAACCTTTGTTTGCAATTACAGAGGTCAAACGTTTCCTGTAGTTCTTGACCAGGTTTGCACACACTGCAACAGGGATTTTGGCCCACTCCTCCACACAGATCTCCTCTAGATCTGTCAGGTTTCGGGGCTGTCGCTGAGCAACGCAGAGTTTAAGCTCCCTCCAAAGATG